CTGTCTATTAGGAACATAGCCATGATAAAGGATGCAGGTGAGAAGACAAGCCAGTGACAAGGTGAGATACTCTAGTAGTATGAGTCAGAGGAGTGAGTATAACTAAGTGTGTAGCACGGTGTAGGGATGAGGTGTGACTAGCCCTGTTAACATGCTACACTCTACTACACTCTACCTTCTCGACTAGGCACCCTCTGCACTCGCTATCATTCAACTCTCTTTTGCAGTGTTTTCTCCGCTCCTAAAATGAGACGAACGGATTTGGGCCACGCCCTAACGAACATACTAGTACCTGCACAGTCTGATAGCGTGTCCAGAGCTAGGCATATAGGGCGCTTCCAGTAGGTCGAGAAGGTCGGGAGTGTAACTGGGTGAGGCAGGTTGAGCAAGCCTCCTTTGTTCCGGCGGTCATGTCAGCCAGTGGCGGAATGGGTCCAGCGTCAACAGCACTGTATAAACGCATTGCTCATCTGTTGCCGTGTTGGCTGAGAAGAGGGGTGAGCACTACTCTCATGTTACTGCCTTTGTTAGATGCAGGATTTCCTTCAGCCTTCTGAAATCATATATCATGTCATTGTGCATTCGCGGCTGTAGGCGTATAAATTTTAGTTTGAAATTTGCACCCTCCTTCGGAGCCCACGCTGCTTTGGCAGTGGCGGAGGCTTGCTTGCCGACGTAACCGTCGGAGACCATCATGAAGAATGGGCTGACTAATTATTCACTTGTCACGGGCCTGTCTTTCTAAATAACATGTTAATGCACATGTTCTTGGTTTAGTTTTTGGCCTTCTTTTCGTGCTTTGGAGATACTTGTTGTTTTTGGAGAACTCCTCTCCACCTACCTTGGAGAACTCCTCTCCACCTACCTTGGAGAACTCCTCTCCACCTACCTTGGAGAACTCCTCTCCACCTACCTTGGAGAACTCCTCTCCACCTACCTTGGAGAACTCCTCTCCACCTACCTTGGAGAACTCCTCTCCACCTACCTTGGAGAACTCCTCTCCACCTACCTTGGAGAACTTCTCTCCACCTACCTTGGAGAACTCCTCTCCACCTACCTTGGAGAACTCCTCTCCACCTACCTTGGAGAACTCCTCTCCACCTACCTTGGAGAACTCCTCTCCACCTACCTTGGAGAACTCCTCTCCACCTACCTTGGAGAACTCCTCTCCACCTACCTTGGAGAACTCCTCTCCACCTACCTTGGAGAACTCCTCTCCACCTACCTTGGAGAACTCCTCTCCACCTACCTTGGAGAACTCCTCTCCACCTACCTTGGAGAACTCCTCTCCACCTACCTTGGAGAACTCCTCTCCACCTACCTTGGAGAACTCCTCTCCACCTACCTTGGAGAACTCCTCTCCACCTACCTTGGAGAACTCCTCTCCACCTACCTTGGAGAACTCCTCTCCACCTACCTTGGAGAACTCCTCTCCACCTACCTTGGAGAACTCCTCTCCACCTACCTTGGAGAACTCCTCTCCACCTACCTTGGAGAACTCCTCTCCACCTACCTTGGAGAACTCCTCTCCACCTACCTTGGAGAACTCCTCTCCACCTACCTTGGAGAACTTCTCTCCACCTACCTTGGAGAACTCCTCTCCACCTACCTTGGAGAACTCCTCTCCACCTACCTTGGAGAACTCCTCTCCACCTACCTTGGAGAACTCCTCTCCACCTACCTTGGAGAACTCCTCTCCACCTACCTTGGAGAACTCCTCTCCACCTACCTTGGAGAACTCCTCTCCACCTACCTTGGAGAACTCCTCTCCACCTACCTTGGAGAACTCCTCTCCACCTACCTTGGAGAACTCCTCTCCACCTACCTTGGAGAACTCCTCTCCACCTACCTTGGAGAACTCCTCTCCACCTACCTTGGAGAACTCCTCTCCACCTACCTTGGAGAACTCCTCTCCACCTACCTTGGAGAACTCCTCTCCACCTACCTTGGAGAACTCCTCTCCACCTACCTTGGAGAACTCCTCTCCACCTACCTTGGAGAACTCCTCTCCACCTACCTTGGAGAACTCCTCTCCACCTACCTTGGAGAACTCCTCTCCACCTACCTTGGAGAACTCCTCTCCACCTACCTTGGAGAACTCCTCTCCACCTACCTTGGAGAACTCCTCTCCACCTACCTTGGAGAACTCCTCTCCACCTACCTTGGAGAACTCCTCTCCACCTACCTTGGAGAACTCCTCTCCACCTACCTTGGAGAACTCCTCTCCACCTACCTTGGAGAACTCCTCTCCACCTACCTAATTGGTTTTGAAGAAAATTTAAAAAGAAAGAAAGAGTATAACTGATACAAGGTCGCAATAACTCTGCGCGACGGCGAGTTTCTTGTGGTACGATTTTTCGGCCAAGCATTCACAGCTGGGTTCTCGCTAGGCCGACTTTTCAGCCGATGCTACGACACCGACTAGACTCCGACATGAAATCGGACGACTGCGTCGGACAGACTCGGACTACCTGTTCACACACAACGGTGACGCAACTTGCCAGACGCACCACTGCTGCCTGAAGCACATCAGAAGCGCGCAGAAGCTTCCACTCATCAAACCTCACTGCGAGAATGTACTACCTCCTGCTTCCTGGGGTGAATTAGGCGCAACACAGTGTATTGAGCAGGGAGTGGCAGCTTTTTTGCAGGTTTGCGGAGTCGAAGGTTCGATAGACTTCTCGTGTGATCTGGATGTCATGGTGCCAAGCCGTCAGTGATTGGTTGGAGGCCCGCTCCACCAAGTGTAAGCTCTAACATTCGGCCGCCTTCTGCTTGGTCCACACTACGCTGATTTTTCCGCCGATGCTCCGACAGCGACACCGACATGAAATCGACCCACTACGTCGGTCCTGTCGGATGAGTAGGACTAAGTTAGCTGTTCACAACTTCACACGCAACCCCTATTGCGTCCATGTTTTTCTTTTCTTTTCTTCTCTTCTTCCCTGGTGGGTCTCACCCTCTCCTCAATTCAATTTTTTTCTCCTCAATTCAATTAGGGCGCGTTTGGTTGGTACGAACTAGGCTCCGGCGGATTATGCTCGCGAAATCATGGAATGATGCGTTCATGGATTCTCGCATTATTCTCGCAAAATCCTCATATTATGCTTAGGCACGCAGGGATACATATTCACTTTGTTGTACTTATGGAGCCCCAAAGTTCGGAAAATTGTGCCTTTTTCTCACTTGTAAGTGGCCATAAGTACAACAATTTGTTACACGAGTATCCCTATACCGAGATGTCCATGCATGCTAGTGATTATCATGGAAAAGGGAAACCATTACTTCTAGAAATTCATTAGTTGACTTTTGGTTTCTTTTGTACTTCAGTAAAACTATATGATATGTTTTCATTGCCAAATCAGTTTGAGTTACCTTTGAAAATTATCCTGTTCAACTGTCTTCGTAATCGTCATACTCGTCCAACCGATATGTCACCCTCACCCTGCGAATAATCAGCTCATCTCTTCCATAGCTCCACCTCTCCTTCCATCATGACCGAACACCAACTAAACCTGAACTTTTTTTAAATTATTATCGCAATGTCCGAAGCCTGCACAGTCATGGCTGCTAAAATCCAGCAGAGTGCATGACTTCGTATCATGAAAAATGTACAATCATGTAGATCTACATGTACGCAGAGTCAGTTTGCGGACTACCCGTCACCATGGTCACTATCTCGTCCGCCCCATGGCCCAGGCCAGGATACCTGATAAAGGCTGATTCACTCGCATCCTCTGCTACATGTACTGTATCCGTGTGAGAAAGAACTTTGAAGAAGACGAGTTCGACCATACAATAATGTGTTGCCATTATTTCTACCCTGCTTTTCATTGAAATTACTATCTGCATGGCCTCCAACTTCAAGCCCTTTACCATGCAGACCACCAGGACTGATCAGGTGTAGCCTCAGTGACATACTAGAACTGTGGTATAATCTTGTAGTTATGCTCCTACCTCCGAAAGGATGCCAAATTATGCTCCAAATTTTCAACCACCAAATTATGCCAAAAATTATGCCGGCATAATCCGTCGGTGCCTACACAACTGGCATTGAGGATATCACTTCCACTTGCCACAATTAATTTGGCTGTAGCTTTCCTAGGAGTTGCTGAAGAAAACGACATTTTACAACCATGTTAAAAAAGCCAAATCACCTCCTACAGTGCTGACCAAAGAAATCTAACGTCAGGAGTAAAATAGCGTTTCCGGGCACTACGCAGCCCTAGCACTGCACACACTGGTCAGTTCACTCTAACGCGGCGCTACTTTATTCGTTAGGTTGGATTTATTTGGTCAGCAGTATAGTTGTAGCCTGTTGTCATGGTTGCAGGCCTTTCTCAAGTTTCTGTTCACACACTCAGATCAAGTACAGAATACTTTGCATATCCAAAAATACGGAATTTGATCAGTCTGTTTCAGAAGACGAACCAAATTCCTGCTCCCCGCGATGGGTTACTCGTAGGGCTCAAACGGTTAGTCCGATTAACCGGTTGCAGACCGGTTACGAAGAATTAACGGTTAACCGATAAAGATAACGGTTACACGGTAACTTCTCAGTCAATTTTTCAAGTATCAGGTCGTTGCAAAGTATGCACTTTCGCAGGCTGTCGCACGCGTATGCAATTTCTGGGCCGTCAACTTGGTCATATCTGGTCTCTTGGTGTGAGAGCATGTATGAATGAGCATGCCAGAGAATGTAAATGTGTGTGTTGTACTGAATAGGGTACATTTTTTGAATGAGTATAGTCAAATATACGGTTAAAAAAGAGTCCGCAGGTTTGCCGTGGCTTATAGGTTATAACCGTTAAACCGACCGTTAGCTTAGCAGTTAACCGTTAGGGGTAAAACCGTGACCGTTTGAGCCCTAGTTACTCGGATTGCAGTCAGGACATGAGGAAAAGATCGTCACACCTGGAGTGAATCCAATTGATCTGCATCCAGATCCGACCAGCCGAACATGCCCGAGCCCTAGATTTCTGTTTTGTAACAATGAAAGAAAATTCATGACGGGTTGTAAATCCGGCAGTATCTTTAAAAGAAAGAACCAATGCACAGAATACATCCAGTGAGTAGAGAATCCAACGAGCCTGAAGTAGATTTCTGAAGAATAGGATATTTCAGCAGTGACATCCATGGAAAATATTGATAAAGCGGAAATAATTACTTTGAATTCATTAGTTTGAGAGATGTGAAAACTTTCAGAGTTATTTGTTTCGACTTTAGAGCTGCGGCATACACTAAAGGTACTGCAGATAATAGCATGAAACGTGAGCTTACTGGGTGACGTCTGGGATAAACTCTGCAAATTGGGAGTTACAGCAGGGAGCATAGTTATACTCTTCGTCTGTAAGAAAATACTTCAAGTACCTGGTAGATTGGTAAGTTGAGAAACTCAAATATCTGCTCTTGCTAAAAGTAAAGGCCAGAAACTGTTCTGTGCAAATCAAGTCACATCAATTTTAAAAGTGATATCAAAACTATATTAATGAACGATGAAGTGGGTTAATCCGGTGTGCTACAAAAATAAAGAGTATATGAAAGTCGTCATTGAAACGCCAGTTGTCTTCACTCATGTGTTGTGTATTCTCAGTGCTACACTGCTACACACGGGGCTGGGGATAGAGGGTCTGTGCTATGGGCCGATGCCGTGTGCTTCAATGGATTTGTAGTGGATGGCTCATACTCACACATCTGTTGCTTCTGTTCCAGGCCATCTCCCTGCGACCTGTCTTCTAGGAACGTGGCCTCTGCCTTTACTGATCTCGCGCTCTGCATGCTGCCATCCCAGGTGGACGAAGGCGAGATTGCAGTTACCTTGTCACAACACGGGTTGACTGGTTTCAATCCACTCACTCCACTCCTAGGCCTGCCCACAACGTGTGTCGACTCTGACAACGAACCATCGGTAAAGTTGTCATCAGACATGGGAGACTCCTCGACGCTATCACAAGCACTGACATGGACACCAGAGTCACTCTTCAGCGCTCGCCTGTCAAGCAACTTTGGTAGGGTACTGCCTGGGGAGATGGACAAACCAACCGGGGCATCCTGTACAGGAACAATGTTTCCATGTGGTGACGTAACGTAGAGGAAGCTGTCGCCACCTTCGAAGACCTCATCTTCTCTCTCATCGTCCTCGCGATCTTCTTCATCCTCGGCTAATAGATCATCATCACTTGCCAGTGATGCGTGAGGCTGCTGCTCATCTTCAGCATCTTCTAGACCTGCTGCATTCAGGGATGCCCGGGGAGGCCTCCATGCTGTCAAGTCCTTCCAAAGCTGACGGAATGTTGGCCTGTCATTAGCCTTGGCTGACCAGCACTCCAGCATCATTTGATAAATGCTGACAGGGCAGTCGTGTGGCTGCGGTAAGCGCTTTCCAAGATCGCACACTCGCTTCACGACTTCCTCATTGTCACATTCGAAGTATGGAATGCCACCGAACGTGAAGATTTCCCAGAGAACCACGCCGAAGGACCAGACATCCGACTCGGTGGAGTGCTTGCCAAATCTGATAACTTCGGGTGGCATCCAGCGGACCGGTAGCGTCCCCCAGCTCGAATCGGGCTTGTAATAGTCGCGATTCTGAACTTCACGTGACAGGCCAAAGTCTGCTATTTTGACAATGTTGTTGCGGCCCACCAAGCAGTTCCTAGCAGCAAGGTCACGGTGCACATAGTGACGTGAGGACAGGAAGTGCATGCCATAGGCTACCTGTGCTGCTAGCTTGCACAAGTCTGGTGGCAATAGGCTGATGGTGGACAGTGCTGAAGACTGGGATGCATGCCGCGGTGCTAGACTCTCTTGCTCACGTCGGTACTGATCAAGCACTGTCCTGACTAAGGGCCGGCCTTTGATGTCAACGCTTGGCGTCTTTTGCTTCTGTGCTTCCTTCAAGAAGTGCAGTAGATCGCCATACTCCATGTACTCAAACACCAGACACAACGGAGATGAGCCATCCTCGCTGGGTGGACACACGCCCAGCAAGCGAATGATATTGATATGCTTGAATCGACTGATTGCCTGCGCCTCCTTGATGAAGCCGCTCTGCGTCTGCTTGGTGCAGCTGCCCTTCAACGTCTTCACCGCCACGGTTGTGCTCTCTTCGCCATCCACATTGCTTGCCACTGCTCGCCACACCGTGCCGAAATTGCCCTCGGCAATCTTGGCCTCAAACTTCAGCTGTGCTTGCTCCAGCTTGGTGACTCCATGCAGATCAGGTGATATCACCGGATACAGTGGGTTGTCACGGTGTTTGCCTGGCGTTAGGATATTGAATGGACTATGCGGGAAGTAGCGGGGGTGGTGCGTCTCGCTAATGCTGGGCCGCCGGGGCACACTGGAGTGGGCCATTGGGTGTGTCTCTGGTGTCAGTCTCAATGTCCGAGACTGCGCCTTCAATTTCATGCGCCGGAGGTGTATGACGTATCCAGCTATGATGGCAATGGTGAGAAACACGCTGGACGCACCGATGCACACGGCTAGAACAGTGCCGGTTGCGTTTCCTTCAGCTCGCTCTGCACACACAGTTCAAGGGTAAAACCGTGCGTGCACATCGTATACATAGCCACAGGCACAACAAGTACAGTAAACACAGAGAGTGAGTGAGAGCAATTCACAGCAAGCCTACCAAACTAACACACATGCACAACAATGATCACCACTCATATCTACTTCCTCCGCGTCATTAAAATTGTCACTTCGCACATCGCAATGTTTGTGACTTGGCTCGTCTTAGTCAGACTGTCGGAATCGCTGTTTTCTGTGTTCGAACATTGGCGCGACCCTTCCTGCGCAATGTCTACTTGTTACTGAAGCCGAGGTGTGGTGTGCGATGTGGTGGTCTCGGACTTTGTCGGAGCTCTCTTCCGCACCAAGCAAATTCATCGCGTTTTTTTTAATAGTTTCTTGACCTGAATTTGAACGCGCGTCTTGTTCAGAGTATTGTTGAGTGCTGAAGGGTCTGCCTCAAACTCTGATGAAGACGTCGACCTTAGCTGCAAGTGCAGCGAAGCGGGAGGCCACAAACTAAAGCTTGGTCCGTCGACAATGCTCTGCCTCAATTTCTAGCTGATTTCTTTGCCCTTCGAGTGGGCAAAATAAATTCGAAAAGTCGCTCTGGGAAGCGACAATTTTAATGACGCGGAGGAAGTACTTGAATAAGCTACCCCAATGGAGAGCATTCCAGTACTATGTAGAACAAGCCAGTAAGTACATCATGGGTTGTGTGCGTGCCATTCGTGACTGTGTACACTCGCATGTGTAATGGGCAGTACACAATATACCGATGCCTTACCATGCTTGTGTTCATGCACTTCTTCCAATATGATATTAGTATGACCTTCATCTTATGAATTCTTGAACACTTTCACCTGTAGGCGTTCATGTTCTCAGGCCCTACTGTCCTGGTGTTACCCACAGTTAATTGGGAGCTCGTGGCCTGGCACAAGGAAAACATGGATGCTGTGAATGGGATTTCGGTCTTTGACCACTGGCTGGTGAGCTGATCTACTCACCTCCCACCCCTTTAGGAGCTGCATCTGCGCCTTGATCCTTGAAGGGTGGTGGCAGAAAACTCGGTCTGACGCGAGCCCTAAATTTGTTTTATTAACAACCAACCTGGTCTCTGCTCATGTTGAATGGACCCGGTCAAGCCCTTTCATATCTGGCTTCAGAATTGGACTTCAAATGCCTGCCTACAAGAGTAGACTGATATCGGCTAAAAACAAAGCTGTCCCTGGGCCTGAGGCTACAGTATGTTAGCACTAGCCAACCTGTAAGAACGTTTCTCAACTTAGTATTCTACAGAACAAGTAGCATGGCCAGTAAAGTCCTATTTTATACAAGTTCAACTTTGTACACTTTATAGCCACAGTGGCTGGAGTGAAGAAAATACAACTACGTACGTGGTTGGGTTGTTGGCTGGATATCGCATGGCGCTAGTTCGCTGCTGCAACTCTCCCAGCGGTGCTTCGTGTTGGTACTGTAGCACCAGGGCCTAGGTCTGGAGCCAAACGGGTTGCGGCAGGCATTGCCATCAAGGTGCGGGACCAGTCCGTTGTGAAGGTGCGGCGCTGGCTGGTGGGGATAGGAAGACTTCCACGGCTGACACGCGTGACCAGAGATCGTCGTGCTGAGTTGACCACGGTAGGATTGTCCGACTGGATCGTCGGGGTGGAGACAATCTACAGAACCCTCAGCTGCAAGGCATATAAAAACATGAAAGCATATAAAATTCCGTCACTACCACCTATGCAATGCTAGCACACATACAATACATGAATCTACAACGTAGCGAGTGGTTTTAAGAAATAATGTAAAATCAGTAATGTCTGCGTTGTTACAAGTTTTTACAATTTTTGCAAAAGGTGCCGAATAGCTAACTTGGAACTTTACAAACTCGCACCACACATTAATGTGGAGTATTTAAAATGGAAGTTAAGCCTAAAATCAAATGTTCACCAGTTGTAGTCTTCGGGGTGCTGAGTCGAATGGTCTTGGTCCAAGGAAGCTGTGACGTTCCGTTCCACCTTTATTCCCAATCGAACTCGCACACTTCCACCAAAACTAGGTGACTGCGCCCTACTAGATGGGGATTTGTATGCAAAATATCACTAAAAGCGCCATTTCGCTCTTATAACAGCACGAATGACCGCGATTGGCCCATATGTTGTAGTCTTTTGGATGCTGAATCGACTGGTTTTGGTCCGAAAAGGCTGCGATGCAGCGTTTGGGCCTCATTCCCTATCAAACATTGTTGAACAAGCGGTCACGTGCTCCTGCGTACACCAGTCACTGCACCAGCAGGCGACAATTTTCACACCAAGGTTCAACTCGAGTGACAGGAATGCACCCAAACAGGCTGTAAGTTGTACCCTGCGGGCACGGTGACCAGGTGACTGGTGTACGCAGGAGCACGTGACCGCTTGTTCAACCATGTTTGATAGGGAATAAGGCCCCAACGCTGCATCGCAGCCTTTTCGGACCAAAACCAGTCGACTTAGCGTCCAAAAGACTACAACATATGGGCCAATCGCGGTCATTCGTGCTTTTATAAAAGCGAAATGGTGCTTTTAGTGACATTTTCCATACAAATCCCCATCTAGTAGGGCACAGTCACCCAGTTTTCGGTGGAAGTGCGCGAGTTCGATTGGGAATAAAGGAGGATCGGAGCATCTCACCTTCCTCGGACCAAGACCATTCGACTCGGCACCCCGAAGACTACAACCAGTGAAAATCTTAATTTAGGCTCAACTTCCCCTTTAAAAGTTATGATGTATTCAACAGCAACCATTTACCAGCGCAAACCAGTCTGATTTTCAAAAACGCAAACATTTCTGGTTGCAACAACAACCTGTTTTTACAGCAATGAATGGAAATACCAAATATACCGGTTCCTGAACAGTGCAAAAGCAAAAACTGTGTACAGGAGAGCATCTTTTTGAATTTGCAACCTCTCGCACCCATCCTTCCCATCTTGCACAAATCCCTACCTGCAAGAGTCAAGTTGTTTGTCGGCATTGGCAACTGGATGCATTCTGGAGCGTTTGCCTCCTGGTCCGGCTCCTTGGAAAATTGCCGCTGGAATGTCTCCAGCAGATGCTGCATTTCTTTGGTTCCGCTGAGTGAGGACAAAACCTGTGCACACTCGACTTTGAAGGTTTCGTAGTAGGACTTGCACGGTGGGTGGACAACACCACAGTGCCCAGCGGCTTGCCGATTGCACACACGGGCAAATGAAAGGCACAGCAACTGCTTCAAATGATCGCTGCATGTCGCTGACAAACCAGTGGCGCCTGTGCTAATGACATGCAGTGTTCGGTTCAGGTGACCAAGGGATACCTCATTGGAAAGGCGCACACGCTGGCCACGGTAGACTTCAAAGCCCGCGCACACAGGCAGCTGTTCCCGCAGCCAGTCTTCATCCTTGCAGTATATGGCAATGTCTGAAGTGAAGAGCAGACAAAACAAGGGCCGGAACTGACTACATAATATGGTGGCAATGTAAATAATCTTTGCCATTCTCGGTAAAAGACACGAGTCGTAGATGATGGTTGAAGATCAAAGATGATCATTGTAATTTGTTCATGAGCTGCACTACCCCACTCATGTTGGTTGACTCACTGTCCTCACTTCCTTGTGTTGACTGTGCTTGGCTTTATGCTATCAAGTACTCAAGATATAATACAGAATGCCCATACTACATCCAAAGCAGTTTAAAGGGGAAGTTAAGGCAAAAAATAAAATTTCACCAGTTGTAGTCTTCGGGTTGCTGAGTCGAATGGTCTTGGTCCGAGAAAGCTGAGACGCTCCCTTCCTACTTGAATCCCAATCGAACTCGCGCACTTCCACCGAAACTGGGTGACTGCGCCCTACTAGATGGGGATGTGTATGCAAAATGTCACTAAAAGCGCCATTTCCTTCTTATAAAAGCACGGATGACCACAATTGGCCCATATGTTGTAGTCTTTTGGACGCTGAGTCGACTGGTTTTGGTCCGAAAAGGCTGCGATGCAGCGTTCCTCCTTTATTCCCAATCGAACATGGTTGAACAAGCGGTCACGTGCTCCTGCGTACGCCAGTCACCTGGTCACCGTGCCTGCAGGGTACAACTTACTAGCCTGTTTGACCTTTTTTGGGTGCAGTCCTGTCACTCGAGTTGAACCTTGGTGTGAAAGTTATCGCCTGCTGGCGTGGTGACCAGGTGATTTGGGCACCCAGGAGCACGTGACCGCTTGTTCAACCATGTTCGATTGGGAATAAAGGAGGAACGCTGCAGCGCAGCCTTTTCGGACCAAAACCAGTCGACTCAGCGTCCAAAAGACTACAACATATGGGCCAATCGCGGTCATCCGTGCTTTTATAAGAAGGAAATGGCGCTTTTAGTGACATTTTGCATACAAATCCCCATCTAGTAGGGCGCAGTCACCCAGTTTCGGTGGAAGTGCGCGAGTTCGATTGGGATTCAAGTAGGAAGGGAGCGTCTCAGCTTTCTCGGACCAAGACCATTCGACTCAGCACCCCGAAGACTACAACTGGCGAAATTTTAATTTTTGCCTTAACTTCCCAGTTAATATCCCGCAAAGTGCGTGCTGTGCGTATCCTGAAGGAAATTCAGACCACCCCCCCCCCCCCGACATACCGGTGCAGTCCTTAAAAACATCGTAAATCAGTTATGCCAGGGTCGGCCACGAGCCGGATTGTTATGTACTCTTCACAACAATCAGCTTCCTTACCGTTGCTGCACCTACGCAAATTGCAATCGGACACGATCGACTGTGCGTCCCTCGTGAAACACCATGGCCTGGAACGAAGACCATTCGGATTGCGACAGTGGTTTTCCTCCAGTGCCTGATCCACGTACAAAGTATTATTGCCTTGCCAGGGCTGACAGGTCAGTTTGTTCTGTGCATGGGATTTGGTGCCGGAATAGAGCTGTCCCTTGTCACAATAGCAACCCTCTGCGGCCGTGCAACAGAAGATCAGAACAGTGACAGAATGTTCGCTCAATTTAAGCATCACGCGGCATATTCTGCATGTTGAAGCTTTTGTTGCGATGATGACATTATAACAAGATCCTTAATTCAAAAACATGGTTCTGATTCCTTCTGGATGCGGAGCACACTGACTGAGGTGTGCACATAAACTGGATGCCTGAATTATGTAAGGAGTTCATATTCCACTGATTAAACCCTATTGGACATGAAAATATACTGATCATGATGAGTCTCACCGTCTTTGAATGATGGCTGAACAGCAACTGCATCCAAGAAGTCATCCATGCAGAAGCAGAACACAAAGAACACAACAGTTGTACTTTTTCTAGTTGTCTGACTGATATTTCACACAAAATCTCAATGGCAGTCCAGGCGATGCTGGAGAAATGCACTATATACACAAGACAACACAGAAAGTCTTCACAGCTCACAAACAAGGCCTGCAGAGTGCTGTTTCTCACCCTGCTCTCTAGTGCTGGTGCAGCTAGTAGGGTTACTTCGCAGCTCAGTCAGCAGTGACTGGTATTGCGTACACACATCATCCAGGTCAAACTGCTCGGCCAGCATTCGCCACTCGGCTGCACAGGCACCTGTCTGCAATGCTAAGCAGTCTTGCTGACAGTAGCCCAGTGGCCAAGACTCGTTAGAAGTGGCACGCTCAGTTACCACGCAACCGGGGAATGCGGCGGCGCACAGGAAACGCTCAGCATTCTCCTTGTCATGCTGGCACTCCAGAGATGGCTTGATGTACTGAAAAGCGACCAGGATGTGGTGCAGGATTTGCTGGTGATGTGGCAGAGGTGAAGTGTTGAATGCGAACATAGTGTCCATGCCCAAAAGTTTGCCGCAGCGAGCTTGCAGCCGATCGTCACCCACAGCTTTGCAAGTACCCCTAGAAGACCAGTGTAGATTATACACAAATTTTGAAATCAAAGACAACCACCAACAACAGGCACTACCAGATCATATTCACAAGTGACTCTTTAACTATCCGTCCAATCGTAAATACTTCAGGAGAACTGCAACAAGCAATCATTCTCTATTCATGCATGCATTCTGTGAACGCCATCACATCAAAAGACCAAAACCTGTTCATACCATCGTAATGCACCATGCTATGCATGAGTGTACGCTATGGACGTTATGCCAATTCCATCATCGTGCATGCCTTGTATGGAGTTGAATGACATCACTGTAAGTGTCATGATGGAGTGGTAAGCCAGCACTGGGGATTTCCCTCCATACAAAACACTCCAAACACTGTACTGGCACGATGGAGTGGTAAGCCAGCACTGGGGATTTCCCTCCATACAAAACACTCCAAACACAGTACTGGCACGATGGAGTGGTAAGCCAGCACTGGGGATGTCCCTCCATACAAAACACTCCAAACACTGTACTGGCACATGGTAAATTGTAATGCAGGCAAGGGATGATTAAAACACTCACAACAATAACGAACATTTCGCCACAGCTGGACTACAGTGCTACTCATGAACAAAACGAGAGGCATGCAGCTCAACAGAACAGCAAAGGGAACGGCTGGCAGGTCTTACCATGCAAACACTATGGCAAGATAGTGACATAGGACACCCAGAGTCCGAACACCGACATAGCAAGAAGAGGAAACAGACAAATACACATGATTTCAGAATGCATGCACACACCAACCCACACATACCGTAGTGTCTTGTATTACAGCCTATCTCGTATAGAATCCTGTTTTGAATACAAGCCTGGTTTTCAAGATACACTGTCGGCACAAAAGCCTGATTTTAGTGTTGACACACATAGAAATACCTGGTTTAAATACACGCCTGATGTGAATATAAGCCTAGCCTTGACATCGGCTTCTACAGGAATAAGCCCGGCTTTAATACGCTACATTACGGTACACATATAAGCCCTGGTTACCACCTAGAGCACTCTCACATTAATGGTATGAGGAACATCATGCGTGCAATGTCCGCGCATAAATGCTGCTGCTGCGTATTTTCTTTGTGCATATGTTATCTGCCCCGGGGCTTACAGACCCTAGCCAATTATGGGCACTGGTCTGTGCGCTGAACTCAGCTCTGATATATTCAAGGTGGTGAACGTCACTTCAACCATCACTGTGCACTGTGCATTACTAACTCAGCTTAGGAATGTCATGGTAGTTATGGAATATGCACTCACTCATCAGGTCATGCTCCATCTCGTCAAACACGTATCCATTGGTCGCCGAACACACATACTGCCCCTCCAGGCCAGCTTGCATGAGTGGGATGACCAGCTCGGAGAGGCTCACCAGTCCGGCTTGCCTGCTGTCTGTCCGTACCAGAAGTCGGGAATGGTAGAAGGGATCGCTCTCAATTGGTACAAGACCCTTGTTCGCGGTCTTGACCAGCCAGTCGATTTGCGTAGCACCGTTGGCCTCACACCGCAGTCTAGCTGTGTTACCAAGATGGACACTGTGCTTGGTGGGAGTAGTCTCCTTGGCAGTGATTTCAAGCACTGTAGAAACATCAAAAGATTGCAGTGATTAACTCCAGACCTGTACTGCCAGCATTGTGCTAGGCAGAGTATTGACCTGTACTGCCAGCATTGTGCTAGGCAGAGTATTGACCTGTACTGCCAGCATTGTGCTAGGCAGAGTATTGACCTCGCCAGTGTTCAGACATTGCAGCAAGTTCTAGCTGCAGTGTCGAGAGAGCCTCACATCACGCTCAAGTGGGGCATACTAGTACTCCCAAGCAAATGCAGCCACCGGTTTACTGCAACATAAGTATGACTCTTTTAAACATTACAAGCAGTGGACAGGAATGTTGTGCATGAACATCCACAGCAAGCTATTTTGGTTCGTGGTCAATTTTTTACCCACTGGAAGCTAGCATTTTTGGCACCTGGAAGCTACCGATCTGGTGCCTGGAATCCATCTCTTTGAGGCCAACTACGTATGGGTAGGCCGTATTGTAGATTATCTGTCACTTGCCAGTGCTGGGTGATGGGAGGTGGCTGTCACCAAGCTGTCAATGGTACAGCACACACTCTGCATTCTTTCCCTTACTATAATGTGTAGAGTTGTTACATGCCTGTAAAGTACTTGTGCAACCAACTACTAAAAGTAAGTATTGGTCATATTGGCTAGAAATTCAATCATGTTCTTTGAGGTCAGAGTTACCTAAAGTCTCATTTCTCCCACTTTAATACTCTTCTTCATTCTACACTCCCTCGCCGTGAACTTTCAGTCAGCTAGTTTGGACCTCAATGCATGTCTTCAGTGCCTCTGCTCCCATAACACTCTTAGCAAGTCTGCACTCTCTCACCATGGAATTTCTGCCATCTAGTTAGACATCAAGACATATGGCCAAAATACGCCATGCAGGACATTCTTGAATGCTGCAAAGAGACCAGGGTCTCAGTTCAAGCAGGCAGGTCTCTTGGCTTACCAGCTAAATGTTTTCGAGAGGTATAACGAGTGATTTTACACTGAGTGTAGTAAGAACTTTCTCATCTATATGTGTGTACGGAGGCTGGACTGCACCCATTTTATAAAATATTAATTGGAACCTACCACCAATCCCAGACAATTGAGGTCACTCTAAAATGACACTTTTATTGTGGTACATGCGTAGAAATGGTATGCATCTAACATCAAAAGTTGAACAGTGTGCACCTTAAGTCTATTTTACTTACTAACTTTAGCATATACATGTACTTCATTTTAATAATTGCCACGGTACTAGAAGACAAAAAAATGAAAAAGGTGGATACTTAATGTTCTGCGTAAATATGCAGAACATGAAATGCATCGCAAGAAATACATGCTAAAGTTTGTGGGGAAAATGTTGCAGAAAATGCGAATAGGCTTTTTTAGTTGGTGCCCACCACTGAGAGTTGCCGGTAGCATGCCCGTGGTGGTTGTAGTATACAGAGACTAAGCAACCACTGTTCAGTCAGCCACCTGTGTCTTACCTTGTACTTTGAGCTCCAGGGTTTGAACTAGAATGCTTAAACCCCGACGCTTCTCTACAAAGCAGGCGTAATAACCGTTCACTGCCGTCGTGGCGTTCTCAACTAGGAAGGACTCGTTCATGTGTTCCACACTCGCCAAGTATGCATCCACGATCTCCTTGCGATGATCCTCTCGCCACTGCGCCAATGTAGGTCCGTCTAGCCTCACCCAGAATGCGTCATACTTGGTGTCCTCGAACTTTTCAGGGCGTTGACAGTCAACGTCTGTTGTCTGTCCAATAGGTATACTTCTCAAATCATCCACGATGCCGTAGCGTCCTGGAAGTCAACATGCCAGTGGAAAAGTAAAGAATATTATAGAGAATCTGGACCCTAGGAGTGGTGACCTAATTTCCCCACCATTGGTACAACATGTATATACACCTGGCTGTGCAGATTTTGCAATTTAGGTGTGTAAACTTTGTAACGCACCAGGGCAGTAATCTCTACAACATAGGTGTACCCGCACACCTTCCTACCCTCACGTATAATATTATGTAGTAGTAGTAGTACTTCAAAGTAGTAGTAGTAGTAGTAGTAGTAGTAGTAGTAGTAGTAGTAGTAGTAGTAGTAGTAGTAGTAGTAGTAGTAGTAGTAGTAGTAGTATTTATTATTCCCGTAGCTATGCAGAATACGTTACTTCAGTAACGTCTGGCGCTAGCCAGGGTCCACACAGCTTTAATTCCCGTAGCTATGCAGAAGACGTTACTTCAGTAACGTCTGGCGCTAGCCAGGGTCGACACAGCTTTAATTTGGTGTTTGTTTGTTTGTTTGTTTGTGTCACGCCTGGCGCTATCCCGTATCTGTCCCGTACTGTACCGTACCAGCAAAGACAGCTGGCCACAATATTTTTGTTTGTTTGTGCCAGGGAGTAGTACAATACCTTGTACTACTGGTTTGTGCCATCGACATGCCTGGCGCTATCCCGTACCTGTCCCGTACCATCAAGAGTACGGTACCATCAAGAGAATGAGTATGCGAAGTGTATCGGGGGAATGCATTCAGTGCAGTAACATTTTGTGTGGATTTGTGTGCGAGGCCGAGATCCCACTAGCTGGCTGGCTGGGCCGCCTGTCGACCAGCCCGGGAGTCGCATGTAGGCCGATAGCATAATAATTACAACGTATATACAGTCATGTAGATGTATAGCAGGGAGTCATTATTATGTAAACGACTCCCTGCTGTATGGGGAGATTTTCTGGAAAGAAATACGAAGTAGGGAGACGAGTAAATGCAATCAGAATGGATGTTAGTTGCCATCAGTATAATAATAAGAAGAAGAAGAACGCCCGTGATCGGCAGAGTCAGCGCCGGTCCCAGGAAACGGCAGGACAGACATCCCGTCGACTCCAGAACGCCCGTGATCGGCAGAGTCAGCGCCGGTCCCATAGCTATGCAGAAGACGTTACTTCAGTATCTCATTGAAACGTTTCTGCAATACAATGATGTAGCTAATCAAAGGAAAAAGCATTTCCATCAGTTCTAACAACATACACGATGAGCTAGGCAACAAAGCATAGCGCAGGGCCCTGAGCTTCCAAGCTCTCTCGTTTGGTGTTTGTTTGTGTGTTTGTTTGTGTCACGCCTGGTGCTATCCGTATCTGACGGCAAAAAAGCATAGGATGTTATACATTTTTCAATTCTCCTTTTTTTCAGGCATATCCTGGGATTCGAACCCGCACTATCGCCTTACATGCATTCCCCCATACACTTCGCATTCATACCCATTCTTCCAAGTTGCTTTACGTTATTATCTTGCGTTTGAAAGCCCTATTTGAATATTGCGGACAGCTGTATGTGGCCAGCTGTGTTTGATGGTACGGTACGGTACGGGAGACGGTGTCGTATTACCCTCGATCGTACCTGTCCCGTACCTATCCCCTACCGTACCGTGCCATCAAAGACGGCTGGCCACAATGCATACTCAAATAGGGCTTTCAAATGCAAGATCACAATGTGAAACAACTTGGAAGAATTAGTATGTATGCGAAGTGTATCGGGGGATGCATGCAGGGCGCGCAATAGTGCGGGTTCGAATCCCAGGTTATGTCTTAAAAAAAGGAATTTTTTAAAGAATTTATAACATCCCTATGCTTTTTTTTTGTCTAGGTCATCAAGGCAAAAAAGCATAGCGTAGGGCCCTGAGCTTCCAAGCTCTCTCGTTTGACTAGGGGAGTCCCAACAGGCATGGCCTTGTTACAGGGAACCCTAGGTGGATCTTTGTGAGGTGAGCAAAAGTACCAGCAGATTGTGGCTGACGACAGTTTGGAGGAAGAGTGTTCCACCGACCTGCAGCCAGAAATGTATTTGCTAGTCTTGCTGATGTTTCATTCTCACTTTCTAGCTAGGTTGACCGACAACTTGGGTGATTGCTGAAGCCAGTTATATCTGTTTATGTATGTTCGTCTCTTGCCAACCACTAGCCTAAGCCACTTGCCCTCATTCTATTGGGTTTTCAATCTTTTCACCCCATGGTGCAGTGCAAAGTCAAATGAAATCAATCACGCAACCAATCACTATTGGGACTGTCGTTGGCAGTAAATTCAGCACATCCCAATGATTAGTACCTACCAACAATCTTGATGTGTATGGAGACGCTTTCCTCTGTCGTCGTGTTGCGACCTTCGCGCGTGGGTACCGTATTACCCGCCCTGCATGTGATGACATCACTTGTGAGGAGGCTTTTCTTGGGCCGTATCTGACACATTTGATCAGGAACACACTCCACTACGCCGGTGGATGCGTTCGTCTTCCCTCTGGAACGCCACTCGTTGTGCCGGTGTTCCGCAAACTCCACTTCCCATCTCAGATGACTTGGGGTGGGCAGCCCATGCGCATGACATTCAATCCGCTCGTGCTTTTGGTTTGCAACGAGCCGCAGCACATGCCCGTCGCTGTACTTCACTGACAAGGTGACCGCGAAGGGAGCTGAATGGAATGTCATAATGGGGAAAACAGAGAATGCCGCTTGGGATCTGATCATACAAAGTACATAACCCAGTCAGTTACACCAGTGAATGGACGAGAAACGTGGAAAGCGGGCAGGCGGGCAGGTAATATGCTTTGGGATAGAAATAGTGCATTTATCTCATTTCATACAACTTCAAAAGGCAAGAATTTAGCTTGAAACATGTCATGGTAATATGCTATTTTGGCAAGACGCTTTGACCATGGACACTGTATGAATTGGCTGTGTCCACTTACTTGCACACTGAGCTGGTGCACCACTCCACTGCCCGTTGGGCTGGCAAACACGAACGTGGCTGCCAACCAACACAAAGCCCTTCTTGCACTCGTAGTAAAACCTGGCACCTGGTTTGGTGTGGCTATCGGATTTCATGCTCTTCTTGAAGTATGGCATGATAGCGGGCAAGTGGAAGAGATGATTGCATTCAACTGCAAGACATAGTAGAACAGAACAGTGCAGTGGTTTAGTAAGCCAGGAGCATTGCATCTTAGATCCAGCGAGCCATGAGCCACTCAGAATTGTTTGGGATGTTTGCACTCAGCCAAGGCAGATCTCATTGAAATTATCTAATGTCCCCCCCCCCCCCCCACACACACACCCCACCCATCTCTTCGAGAGTGTGTGTCGTACAATCACACACACACACATGCACACACACACCTCAGACCTCAGACCTACCCATCGCGGAAGCGAGGATAGCAAACAGCTATGTTAGACATAGCAACTTGTGCTGGGATTATACCATCCAAAAGCTTGCAAGGCTGATGAATTGACCGCCACTAATTTTAGCCTGGTATCCACCACACAGCTGATTGAAGTGGCTTTTTCTGGCCAGTGAATCCCTATTTTTCATTTTTTTCATTCTTTTTTTACACGCACACGCCACACCACATACTCCGGCATACACTGGCTGTTGGTAACCGCCCAGGAGAAAGAAAGAAGAGCTAGGAGAATGAGAAAGACAAGAAAGACGTGTGCGACCATAATCGTCGGGAATTGAACCCGCAACCTCTCGATTGGAAATTGACTGCACATACCACTGCACCATATGGGACACACATACACACACACACACACACACACACACACACACACACACACACACACACACACATGTGCACACATGTGTACACGCACACAAGCACGCACATACGTGCATATACATGCACACCTGTCCTGTCCGGTCCTGTTGACCCACTGCCGTAAAGGTTACGTGGTCCCATTGCGGGAGGAGGGAGATGAGCAAACACGCCGGTGCCGGGTCAGGTCCCTGGACTGCCGAAATCTCCGAGAGCAGTGCTGACACAGTAGTGGAAACTTGGCACGTTCATCCGTTGTTGGGCGGTTCTGGAGAGGTCTACAAGGATTGGGAGCGGGCTGGCTAGCGATTGAGGTAGGCTGACACCTGTGGACAGCTAGTCCACCCCTGCTACGATACCATTTCCCACAATCTGCGCATTGACATGCACCACGCTGCTGTTGGACTGGCTTGCGACGCTCCGCTGTGCACTTGTGGCGCTTAAGATCGCTTGGTCTAGAGCAGACCTTTCCACAGATGGGGCACTCAATGGGGGCTGCTGCGGCCAGTTCCTTATCCTGGTCTTGGTATCTACATCGCCATTCCATGCGAGATGTGTTAGCGGTCTGGTACCATTTGACAATTTGGTTATGGCGAAGATCGACCGACACGCAGTCTTTCCACCGTTTCCTTGGTCCATGGGCAGGTCTGACAGGTGGGAGCTGGCCAAACAGAAGGCACTTCGGCATGTGGGTGTCATCCATGCGCGCCAGGTGACCTAGCCACTCTAGTCGACGATGCCGAAGCTTACAGGTGATGGTCTCCTGGTCCCCCCCCCCCCCACATACGCAATAGTTCAGCATTGCTGATGTGGGCATCCCACATCTGCTGTCTCGACACACCAAGGATGGAGCGGACGCAACGCATATGGAAGGTGGACAGGCGTTGCAAGTCGCCCACACACACACACACACACACACACACACACACACACGCACACGCACACACACACACACACACACACACACACACACGCACAAACACACATGTGCATATCTTTACTCAAAGTAACCCTCGACTCTGTTGAATGTTATTTGCAGCATGGAGAAAGAGATAGATAGATAGATGGATGGATAGATAGCCGGATAGATAGATCGATGGATAAATAGATAGCCGGATAGATACGTAGATAGAGATGGACACAGAGAGAAGAAAGAGGTACCTCAAGTATACACATTCGTAAGGATTCCTTACTGTTTTTCAGGGACAGATGAAAGCAGGTCTGCATCTTTTCATCTCTGTGGCTGGCTTCGATGCACTTCACGCCTGTCATTTCCCGTGTAACGTTAACAAATTTTAGCGTCATGGAAGTCCTGAGGTCTTGATCCAAGTAAAGTGTCTGCAAAATACAGAATCAGAAAAATGGGTTGACAGGACTGGCCTTTGCCCTCTTATACACATAATTATGTCATGGCAAATTATCCAATTTTCACTCAACATTAGGTGGGGGCATGCCCACCGCAAGTGTTTAGAGACTGAAAACCCATTTTTGCAGCTTCCATGTTAGCCTTGTGCCAGATCATGAGGTACTAGTAAATTTGGGCCACTACATGATTGGAAAAATCCATCCATTTCCATTCAGGCCACAATCATATACCCTCTGTTTATCTAACTCGGATACTGAGCCAATAAATATAATTACTTGAAGTAAAATAGGAGAAATTATCTTGTTAGTCGTGGATAGTTGCTTCATAACGCGGTGGTCAATTATTCTGCCTTCCAAGCTGTCGAATACTGCAATCCCAAAGCAAATTGTTATTGCTTCCACCATAGCATTATGCTTGAGAAATCAACTGTCAAAGTGTGCAGATGTGTGGGTGGGTGGGGGGGGGGAGTGGGTATCTGCGTGCATGTGTGCACAGTTGCTCTCACCCTAGCAAAGGGAGCATTGACCAGACTGGATGGGATAGGGTAACCAGACACATTGCAGAACATTGTAGCTGTAGTTTGGGCTTCCACGATCAACGTTGTGCTTGCACAAACGACTTCAGGCTTCTCTGCATAGTGTCACAAAATAAAGTATCAGCGTATCAGTAATCATGTACACATTGTAAAACAAAAATGAATTTGGAGTTTCCCAATCGTACCAAACGAGACTTTCATGAGACAAACATACATAAACAATGCAGGCTGCAATGATGCTATCAGTTTCTGCACGATTTCTGCAGGTAACTACAGAGTTCAACAATCCAGCACATCAAGTTACTTGTGGACCCAGATGAGGCTCTGTGTGTGTTTTTTTCTCAAACTAAAGGATTTGCACTCGTAAATGCTGGAAAGACTCACACTTTGCCTTGCTTGACGAGGAAGATCATCTCCAATTTTTCAAACTTATTCTACATCATGTGACACAATGAACTATAGCGCAGGACCCTCAACTACAACTCTAATCATGTGACACAGTGAACTATAGCGCAGGACCCTCAACTACAACTCTAATCATGTGACACAGTGAACTATAGCGCAGGACCCTCAACTACAACTCTAATCATGTGACACAGTGAACTATAGCGTAGGACCCTCAACTACAACTCTAATCATGTGACACAGTGAACTATAGCGTAGGACCCTCAACTACAACTCTAATCATGTGACACAATGAACTATAGCGTAGGACCATCAACTACAACTCTAATTCACTTGTCTTTTCTCTGCAATTACTGGCCACTTTGCCCGTTAGCCTTACGTTTCTAGAACTCTTTTTTTTACTTGTAAAAGCGATTTGTTCATGCAGCAAAGCAAGTCGATCTCCCGCTTGGATGATAAGACTGCGTCGTAGCAGCGTGCCAAACATGAGTAATTATTTAGTACTCACTGTTGGTGATGAACGGCACCTGTAAACGCTGCAATTCTTCCTCTTGACTCCAGTAGGTGAATTCTAGCTGGAAACGCACGCCTGGAGTAAGGTTTCTTAGCAGGTATGAGCCAGGACCAGCTCGGCTGATTAGGTTGAATTCTTCCCTTCCAAAATTACTGTCATCTGCCGTGTGATTGGAGTCCTTTTTACCGTCTGGGTACCAGACCATCTCAAGCACAACTGACACATCCACTGCTTGCTGAACAGCACTCCAAATGACCCTTGCAGTTGTGTTGGTGACGTTAGTAACATCAAGAATGGGCAGCTGGCGAAAGTCGATCTGCGCTGGTGCTTGCTGGGCAAGGACTAGCGACTTCCCAGGAACCGCCGGCTCACCATAACCATTACTATCTGCTGGTAACACGTCCGAAAGCCCTGTAGCAATGGCACAACCATCACATAGAACCAGTCAAAATTACATCAAAGCGCACCAAAATCTGACCAAATACCACTTGCTACACTGTGAAATTACAGACTCTTGTCAGCCACTGTGTCTCTGGCTGTCTAACCGCTTCTAGCATCTCTCCTCGCCACTGTAGTCAATGCTCAGCCCTAAACTTGAGCCACTACTGGAGGCTCTTTGATCAATGATCCAATCACACCTCCCCCCCCCCCCTCCCCCCCCCCGAGCTCTCAAGAGAAATGTTTCAGCCTTCTACTCCCGTGTATTTAGCTGCTGATCACTTTAACACCCTACCCTCCGATATCCGCATAAAAATCCGCCTCCGAGCATTATGCTATTCCCACCTACCAGTATACCACCCTGTGATACTAGAGAACATGTGTAATTCTGTTGAGCATTACAAGTAAACAATAAAACCAGTCAACCAACAAGCCGAACAAGGCAGGTGAGAAAACAGTATGAAGTTGCTTTTCTAGTTCAAGCGTACCTCACTTTTACTTTTGCCACTTGTTCACAAGTTGGCCAACTAGCATTTTCCAGTCCCTTTATTTTAATTTTATATCAACTTTTTCTCGTATTTTTCTTCCTTTAGGCACCAAACGTCCTTAGATAGGTCTCCACGTGCTGCCGTAAGATTGGTGTGAAACATGCAGGGAATGGAGTGCGGAGTTAAAGGGGAAGTTAAGGCAAAAATTAAAATTTCACCAGTTGTAGTCTTCGGGGTGCTGAGTCGAATGGTCTTGGTCCGAGAAAGCTGAGACGCTCCCTTCCTACTTGAATCCCAATCGAACTCGCGCACTTCCACCGAAACTGGGTGACTGCGCCCTACTAGATGGGGATTTGTATGCAAAATGTCACTAAAAGCGCCATTTCGTTCTTATAAAAGCACGGATGACCACGATTGGCCCATATGTTGTAGTCTTTTGGACGCTGAGTCGACTGGTTTTGGTCCGAAAAGGCTGCGATGCAGCGTTCCTCCTTTATTCCCAATCGAACATGGTTGAACAAGCGGTCACGTGCTCCTGGGTGCCCAAATCACCTGGTCACCACGCCAGCAGGCGACAACTAACTTTCACACCAAGGTTCAACTCGAGTTCAACTCGAGTGACAGGACTGCACCCAAAAAAGGTCAAACAGGCTAGTAAGTTGTACCCTGCAGGCACAGTGACCAGCTGACTGGTGTACGCAGGAGCACGTGACCGCTTGTTCAACCATGTTCGATTGGGAATAAAGGAGGAACGCTGCATCGCAGCCTTTTCGGACCAAAACCAGTCGACTCAGCGTCCAAAAGACTACAACATATGGGCCAATCGCGGTCATCCATGCTTTTATAAGAACGAAATGGCGCTTTTAGTGACATTTTGCATACAAATCCCCATCTAGTAGGGCGCAGTCACCCAGTTTCGGTGGAAGTGCGCGAGTTCGATTGGGATTCAAGTAGGAAGGGAGCGTCTCAGCTTTCTCGGACCAAGACCATTCGACTCAGCACCCCGAAGACTACAACTGGTGAAATTTTAATTTTTGCCTTAACTTCCCCTTTAATGTGATTGGAGCCCATGTACCACACTGCGAGTTCATGATAACGCATTTACGCATTTGGCAGGGATAGGAATGTTCCACTCTGCAAAAAACACAACAGTGTACTTGCATCTCTCTTCATACCATACTCTACAGTTGATATACTATGCATTGTGTCTATCCGCATGCTACACAGCACTGGTCGATAATTCTTCACTGCATTCACGCACACGCCCGCACATCGCAAGCTTGTTCACCAGAAATAGAATGCCAGTGGTGCAGTCAATTGCACGGGTTCTGCTGTTTTTACCATGGTACCTCCTGTATTTGGGCCACTAGACCCTAGCAAATACTTGAAATAGGGGATTTGCCCCTGGCCATCACACTTCCGGTTACACTGGGATCTACCAGGCCCAGGCCCATAATGGAGTAGATCATTGAAGCTTCGGGAAGCTGTGTTGTTTCATGGGATTTGCAGAAACTGCTTTGACCATAATTGTTTGTGAAAGCTGCTGGACAACACCTTCATGAATCCTGACAAATGAATTGTTAGACCACTGCTGCTTACTATTCCTAATTGGCCAAAAGCAACACTTGACTATCTTTGCTTGTCACGAAATGCACAATTTCCAGTCACTCAAGTCAACCGTGCTCATCAAACACACAAGCACAAGTCAAATCAAAATATTTTCCCATCACCCTAGCTCAGTAGCTGATTTTCCCAGAGTAACATTGTTTTGAGTAGCTACGTGAGGAGGACGTGCATACAACATAACCTTGCTTCCCCCGCCAACAGCATCGTGCCGCATTGGCACATACTGAACGCACCGCGGCAAACTTCGCAGAACCCTGTCTTGATTGCCATCAGTTTATACAACCTACAGAGCCAAGTACCTAGACCGCTAAGTGCACGCCAGGGTCGAAAATATCTCCTCCGCTCATCGCACAGGACGTTTCATTCCACGAAGAGGTCGAGCCAAATGCGTGGAATGAAAATGGCTTTCCAATTTTAGACGCGCCACGCTGGATACCAGAGCTGATCACCTTCAGCCTTGGTATGGGGGCATCACCTTCTCACGAGTGCCTGCGGAGCGAACCTTTGACATAAAGGAATGCTAGATTGACAGGATTTTCGTGAGTGAAATGGGAGAAGCGAGCCGTGCATTCCATGTCACAGCTACTGCGTACTGGTGTTTGTTGGTGTGAAACGCCTGCAGGACAAACTCACCCTTGTCAGTCGTCATCTCCGTCTCACCGCCAGCTTCGGACCACTGCCCTGTTGAATCCACAGTCGCGAGGCTGCCGTCTCCATTCCCCAAACTGCCGCCAATGCGCATGGAAAAGGCAACAAGAAACAACATCCAAAACACACCGAACGGACCGCGATCACAAACCGATTTCCAGCGACTGCGCTTGAAGACAGCCATATTGATTGAGGATCTACTGGATAGTTGCACGCCGCCAGCAGACATAGGTCCACAGCAGATGCAGCAGCACTTCACGCCGTGTCGATACACACTGCCACTGCCAACACTACCACCACCACCGGTTACTGACACGATAGTGTGCGTACACACCGAAATCAGCGATGTCGGTCTGCCGCTGCCGTCACTTCACACAAACATGAGGCGCTTTCTGGACTTCTGCCACCTTCGCACTGACAGGAACGCCTGGCACTGTGTTCCTTTGATGCTTCGTAGCGAAGTGAACTCCGATACTGCGATAGCAGGGCAGAACTCAATCACGGCTTGCAGCTCACATCAGTTCTGGTGTATATCTGTGAGCATAGCTACGAATGTTACTCTCCAGCAATGCCCTGCGTTGATGACAGGAAACCTGACGTTTAGGTGAGTACGTCCTTTGCCGCTTTCCCCACCGTCTCTCCACTCCACCTTCTCTCAGGACCCTGAAAGGCTCTTCGTTCCTTGCGAACAGGCAGCAATAAACTAATACTGGTGTGCTGCTTCAAAGGAAGAGAAGGACTAGTGCAGGTGATCCCTGCTTCTCGGTCAAGAATGAATGTATGAGCTTGGACAGTGAACAACGGAGGAAGGCTTGTGTCGAGCCGTCCGTTGACTGATGATTGTCGATGTGTGAACAACCCAGGCACCGCAAGGCATTGGTGTTTGATCAGGGCGGGAACGTCTACGCAGTATGCAGTACAAGCCATGAACAACGGTCAACAGCCAAGTAGTCATTCAGTCAGACCAGGTGAGCAGCTGAGCTAGCTAGCTACTGTACTACCAGGACCACGGGGAGCGTCTGGCTGTGACTCGGTCTGAGTCCAAAGGATCTCTGCGGGTGCCAATCTCGTGTCGAGAGGCCTCCGTCTCGACTGTCAAAAGACTTCAGCATACCCCGTCGCTCTAGACAGTTCCCTGGACCCTGTATTTGTCACGGCTAGACCACCACACACGTCTCATGAGCTCAGTTATCTGCATACCCGCGCCGACGGAGCTGCAAAAAATCCAGATTCAAGATGGTTGGCCAGCTCCACTGTGGGAAAGCCCCCAGGCCTGCACAAGCTGCGTGCTGGAGCATTCTGTTTTCCGACATCAAGTGTATAAGATCTCCAGTTTCGTTCGAGCCTTTCGCGAAATCGATCGAAATTGATCATTAGTATTGTAAATAGAAATTATTGTGGACGAAGACAAAACACGACTACCGCTTCACCGCCCATTATATAAATGTCTGGCATAAGAATTGTTTCACCAGATGGAATTATTGTTATAATGGCTGCGTTTAGTAAGGACCAGTGTGTGAAGGAAATGCCGCACCAAGACAACGATAATTATTTGTTTGTTTGCTTGTTTTAATCGTTGTTTCTGAACAGTACACATTGGAGAGGCCAACTAATATCCATTCAACTGCGATGTCAATGGAATGGACTGACTCCACAAGCCGACAATGGAACGGACTGACTCCACAAGCCGACAATACTATTATTTTGGTACTAGAAAAGGAATTAGGCGAATGCACTATGGACATGACAATCATGGCAAATCGACATTGCAATAACTACACTACACGATCCCTGCACGTACAGGTTGTAGTGAGGTCAGTGAGAATAACAATCATTATCCCCTGGGGCTTAGCAGGGCTCCGCTTCCTGATCTGCGTTCAATGTGACACTGTCTCGCCGAACCTTTGAACAAACACTTTGCTGAATTCAACGTCGGGTAGGTATGAGACTAGTGTCTGAACTGAATATCGGCGGTTTCTCAAGTTAGTTCTCTGCAAATAATAGAGGCAATGTAACTGCCGGTAGCAGAGCGCGTGCACGTACTCTACTCAGCCCCAGCTGCAGTGGCCAAGGTGGCAAGGACAAAGGCAGCGTGTATTTCCTCACTGCCGTCATAATGATGGTCACACCGTTTTGTGCAGACCAGGTAGTAGTATTGTAGTATTGTGGTAGCACTGCACTTTATTCGAAGTACATGTACAGCTATTTTCAATACTGCCAGCTATTCCCCTCTTCACGCAGAACAAGCAACATTCAGCATACCTGTTCCTACTATAGTATTGACACTGTCTCTGTCACTGTGAACGACAGCACCAGCAGCTTCCTCTCCAAAGCCGCAGACAAGTGGGAATGATTATAGGAACATCCAAAATCTACACGTGTGCAAGCGGATCAACTAGCACTTGCTCAGACTGACGCGCACGCACGCATACACACACGCACACATACATATGCACGCACGCTCGAAAACATCACGCACACATACATACGCACGCATGCTCGAAAACATCACGCAGGACCAAAACAGTATGGATGCAACTAGGCTAACGAAGCCGTTCAAGCTGCTGCTAGAGCGTGCTTGGCCGGCGCGACCAGGTCAAGTCCCAGAACAAGGCCGCTGACCAATTTTTCCCTGATCGAAGTATCTTCCGGCCAGCAGTCATAAAGGACAGAGCATTAGAAGCAGCTACAAACCGTAGGCAGTTTTCTCCACGCTGACCAGAACTGGCTGACAACGACGTACATGGCAGCGTAGCCAAAGAGAACTTTGTCGGTAACACCCACATGCGTACCTGAAAGCAGGGTTTGTTTCTCTTTGACTCATTAGGGAGGTTCTGCTATACGTGAAACGTAGAGAAATCACGTAGAGAGCAGGTGTCTGGGTTAGAGTCTACGGCTTCGCGTGTTTTGGCTCCAGATTTCTACGCGGAGATGGGGTTCTCTACGTTGTGGCACACGCAGAGAAAATGCGTACGGATTTGCTGGGTATCGATCAACTGCATGCAGAAAACTGCCAAATATGGAAGGGGAAATTCCCAGTACACATTCCACGTGACTTCTCTAGGTGAAACGTAGAGCAGAACAGCATTTCTTTACGTTACGGGAACGCGAAGAAAGTTCGCGTGATTCTTTGCGTCGCGTTCCCAAAACGTAGAGCAGAACCTCCCTACTATCTCCTAAATGAGGCCTAGACTGCGTGTGTTTCTCTATGTTACTTGCGCGGTGCATCTATACCATTCCCTAAACATCAAACAAGTACTAGTAGAAGCGATTATCATACATCCTACTCTTTGCAAGGTACTTTGCAAGGTACAGACTGCCGTTGCTGATTGTCTCCGGGCTTGCTAGCAAATCACGCGTTCAACACAAACGACACCGCAATGAGCGGGGAAGGCGTAGCGTGAAAGAGTTAATGCGATGCACAACTGATTGCTAGCGTTATCTGATCTTGATTCAACAGCTGATTGTGCATAAACGCACTATCATACTAGCACGAGGATCGACTGAATGTTGTGCTCATCACTACTAAATTCTTGTGATAATTACTTCAAATTAATTGTTTTGACACGAAATTGAAACAGTGTATTCAAGGCCTAGAGTGTCGCTTTGCTGAGTATCAATTATTGAGGCGCCGATTATTGTGCAGTTACCAGTGAACATGAGGATAATGGTGATCATACCTCACGCTTTCGATCACTATTTTCATTTTGCTCTGAGCCATGCTCCCAAACCGAAAACACTTTCTTGTATCCCTTGTGATGCGTATCGCACATGTACTTGTAGATGTCTTAAAAAGAGCACATGAACTAACACTTTCTATTACAGCGATTCCACAGCGGTGTTACTTCACTAGCAATTGTCGGCTTTTGCGTTGTTACTCAGCTTCTATAAGACAGTCCGATGTTACAACGCTATCGAAGTGGCATTCCAGAATTCCTGGGATGGATTACAGTACTACCCAAAATCATCATTGAGGAAGCGCCCCTCTTCCATGTCATGTGCACTCGGCATGTTCGCAACACTGCATTGTCGGTGTTGCCGTTATCATGGTTATTGGCGTTAGACAAATCCCTTAACCCGTTCAGTGTTGGAGTGGACAATTCGTAATCTTGTTCAGATGACTGTGATGCGCTAGGGTGACGTCTTGCGCAAGACCTCATCACTTCTTGAATATCGCTTATCTCGTTCGTGTCTTTAGAGAAGGAGAAAGAGGAAGCGGAGGCACACACACTGATAACAAGCCAGTGCACCGGGGATGTTCATGGTGTGAGCTTTAGCATCACTGAGTTACTAGTGAAGCGCTCACGGTACTCTTTGGACACTGCACACTTTACCAACACACACACACACACACACACACACACACACGCGCGCGCACACACGCACACATATACAGACACAGGATCCAAGCATCAAATGTCACTGATCCCGTAGACCAGGGGTAAGCCTCCTACATAGCTCAGCTGCCAGGTCATAGATATCTAATATTGACAGTATTGACTGAGCGCGAGGTCCGTATAGGAAATAAAAGCCGAGTAAAAGACCGAGGTGAAGTCGAGGTCTTTCACGAGGTTTTCATTTCCTATTGACCTAGTACGAAGTCAATATTGGATTTATCGCGACTAGCCAAATCATGTGTTCAATCCCTGAAAAGGAGTGGAAATAATATGAGCAGTTGATAAAGCTCTAAAGAGTGAAATATGCAGGAATATTTGACTGCTTTAATAGTATTATAATATTATGGGAGTCAAGTCTAAGGGAGTGATAAACACCCATACACGGGCACACCAGCAAGCTGACTCAGACTGAAACAGCTAGTGAATTCAAACCACAACAGTATGATGCTGTCTGCCTTTTCCTGACGTCACACTGGCTACTGCACAGGCTCTCACGTGGCTTGCACGCACGCACGCGCCTTGTTCTTATACGCGGGATGCGTCGGTAACATCCCACGCTTATCCCCGGTGACCCGACCGCAGCACACACGTCTGGTGGAGTATTTTAGACCTGTCCTTCTGTCTTCGGCCAAAGACTATGTTAGTTCTGGATAGTCGTGCCCCTTCAGTTTCAGGAGTCGCTAGCAATCCCTTTGGCAGTTGCTGGTTTGCACTGTGGCTAGGCGAAAGAATAGTAGAGCCGTGATTGCGGCGGGCCATCCTGGATTTCCTGCGCCAATCGTCTGCTGCTACGCTGGCCCTTCCAAGAGCAATGCATCGTGTTTGGGCACAGGGTCACTACATCAGCACAGGATCGAAAAGAGCGTGGGGGCACGAGGCTCGCTTCCGTCTCGTTCACCGACAGAATACGTGCAACTCTGCACTTCCTGTTAGGTGCTCAGCGCCATGCTCGCGGCAAGGTACATGTCCATGATAATACCAGTGTTTGGAAAGAGAATGACACTGTATTGCGTAGTAGCAGGATGAACCCATCCATGAAACTGACCCGTGGCAACAGGTTTTAGCCAACTAACCAATCATGCAGATGGTGCAAAGCTCGTATTCGTGCACGTAACACCGCAAGTATCAGATAACCAGTGCAAGTACACCAACATGCACAAGACGTTTTGTGAGTGACGCTGAACGATTAGTACAATAGAATTTGATCCACCGAAACTCACAAACATATCTTTGTGCAACCGGTAGGGAGGCAACGAGTGCATGTATTAAGTTAAACTAAAGCAATCATTCAGAGCACCATTACACTGCAGTATAAATGTATAGAGGCTAGAGCTAGAGGGCTGATTCAATCAACCACGTTCAACAGCATGTTTGTACATGTATTGTAGGAGTTGGACATGTACTGTTGCCCACCATAATCTTTATGTTGAGAAACAAAGCTG